AAATCTGCATCGGATAGCTTTTGTGCAGATAAGTGGTAAACGCTTCATCTCTACTTCGGATAGTGGCAAATAGATATGTTTGTTTCCACCACTGTATTGTTATTATTACTGTTTGTTTTAATTTCTAGAGGAACATAGGTCTTCAGCCTCACTTCTCCATGACGTTAGGTTCTCCGCCAACGTTTTTATTTGGCCTCACGTCTGTCTACATGCTTTCATCTCCTCTTCACGTCACCTCCTCCATGTCACCCCACCCTCGCACTGATGAACAACTCGCCGCTTCCCGTTCGCGTTCCAATGGAGGGATGGCCTAGCATGTGATGTCACCCACTTGATGGTTTGTTTTCTCAGAGTATGGCCAGACAACCCACCTTCATTTCTTCCTGCATATTTCTTGCACAATTGGTTCCTGCTGCATTGGTCCTCTCGGTTACTGATCTTTTCTGGCCAGCCATCTGATCTTCAGCGAATTACTAAGCGAAGACAGCCGCTGATGAAGATCTGCACTTTGTTTAAGGTGTTCTTCATGACGTGCCAAGTCTCCGATCCATAAGGTAGCATGACTTCTGAAAATCCGGATCTTATTTTCATTTTAATGCTGAGTGCTGTTCATCTCCTCCACACAGACTTGGGGTAATAAAGGCTTACTTTGCTTTCCCCATCCTCGCTGCTTTGATATTGTCGTCAGTTCCCGTCCACATGTAGTTGAAACGATGCTTTCCAGGTCGATAGGTAGGTAGGTAGGTAGGCAGGTGACGGAGGTTGCTTCTCTCAGATTTCTCCCATTTATGCTGGCTGGTTATTTTCTGTTGTTGTTGGTGGTGTTGGCCGGGAATCTTCATCATCACCTCTGTTTTTTCTATGTCCACATGAAGTCCTCCCTTTCTTTAATGCTTCTACCTCTGCCAACTTGTTCCTTCTCACTTGCATATCTTCCAGTGTGTGTGGGAAATCAGACATATGTGTCATCGGCAAAGCCCAGATCCTCCAAGTTTTTCTGTTCCCCGTACTGATATGTTTGTAAATAAGGTAATCACATCGTACATTGTCATTAAATTTATTTGATATATTGAGAAGGTTTACTTTTTTTACAAAAATTAATAGGTATCTTTCAAGCTAATGGATTACAAAGCAATTAAATTTATGAAAACAAAGCCTATCTTACTGATGACATTTCGAGCAGAATTTATTACTCGTAATCATATCAAGGTACTCAAACAACTTTCTAACTTCGAGCAGTAGCACTAAGTAGTACAAGAAAAGACCTAAATGATGAAATAAAACAAATAGAGGAATCGCTGGCTGATGTTAAATAACTAAATATCCTATAAAATTCATTAGAAAGATCAGAAAAGGCCAAAAGCTAAATAAAAATAACAGTGAAACTAATAATGACAAATAACATAAATAAAGAGGGGATATCTGAAACCCTACATACGATTCTCAATAAGACAGGAATTAGGGTGGCATTCAAACCTACAAACTCACTCATGGAGGACAAGCTGTGTAGGTTAAAGGACCCCTTTCGGTTAACCCAATTAAACAAATTACAAAATACCCTGCAATGACTGTGAGTTAAGTCAACTACATAGGTCAAACTAGTAGGTTGAGGGTAATCAGATTATCAGAACATTGTCTGAATTTAGGTAAGGTAAGAAAATGGTTGACCCCACCTGTGAAGATAAAATAATTTATAAAAAAGCACTCAAAAATTGCACTGCATGCATTAATACACAACCACACAATGGGATGAGTGGGAAAGGGGCGAAATTCCAGAAAGTAATATAGTTAGGTGTAGAAAGAGAGAGATTGATTAATGAATCCTTGTTCATCGAGTCTACACCAAACACATGCAATAGGAATGACTCCTCAATCATACAAGAAATATGGAAAATACCACTACTACCGATCATGTCAAGCGATGATTTGAAATAATGGAAGTATATAGACGAAGTTAGAAAGTTGTATGAACAGTGTGACAAATTGTGCTCGAAACGTCGTCATCAGTAAATATTACACTGTAGAACAAATACTGTGAGACTTTATGAAAATAAATTTTACGCAGAATGAAATTATACTCTACTCTGCCACAGTGTACAAGTTTTATTCTTATCCCTCTTCATAATTTCCATTGATCGGTATTCAGTAGTTAGTTAGTTAGTTAGCTTTACAAAAAATAATTTTCACTCATTTTCAGACAATATCACATGACACATTATATCTACGTCTACTAGTAAAATCAATAAATCCAATCAATAACCATTAAACAGGGTTAGAAAAGTGAAGTGAAGTAAAGTAGAAGAGCAAAACTCAACAATAACTCGAGTATTTTAATTAGTGAGTGGATAGGTAGTCAGGTGAGCAAAGGAGTAGGTAGGTAGGCAAGTGCGTAAGTAGGCATGGGGTGAGTGAGTATGCTGCCGTTCCTTTTGGAAAGAGAACAACACGAGAAATAATAATAATAAAAAAAGGGGAAAAGTAATAAATAGACAAATAGGGTGAATAGATATGGATTGATTAGGGAAGCATTTTGCTTTTGACTAAGATTTTATCTATATATCCTAGTTTCTCTTGTCTCTGAAATATATTCAATATATATATACATATATACGCATACACAAGATAAACAACAATAAATAGCCGATGGTTTCTATTATGGTTTCCTTTCATAACTTACCTTGTATTTTGTCCTAATTAAAAATGGAATGCAATCATTGTGAATACAGTCACATGTGATAATAATCAATAAAATCGATAATCATATAGGGAAAAATTGAAAGCTTGATCCTACCTGGTTAGATTTAATTCATTCTCTCTCTATATATATGTGTCTTCAATTGGCGGCATGTTTGTTGACTCAAACAGGATCCTGGGCTAAGAGTTTGTTGCATTCTTACTTTTCTGATAGAATGCAGTGTACTGTATATCATGGCAAATCTTCTTCTGCCTCGCTTACAAAAGGCGATGTTCCTCAAGGTGCCGTCCACTCTCCTTTTCTTTTTTCTTTCTTCCTACACCACCTGCCTCATTTAAACCAGACTAACTTTGTCAAATATGCAGATGATCTGACTGTGTCACTGCCTATCACTTCCAAGTCTGACTGCTCCAAACTTAATAGTTTTCTGTTGGACATCAGCAAGTGGTCTAAGTTAAGTGGTCTTATGTTAAATCCTTCCAAATGTCACGCAGTTAACTTTACTTTTAAGTATCGACGTGACATACGTGAAGTAGTCAGTTCACATGATGTATGTAGCATAGATGGCACTGAAATTGAAACCAAGTCGAGCATTAAATACCTTGGATTCTTGGTTCTTTCCTCTGACCTTTCATGGTTATCCCACATCTTACCAGTCTCTGCGAAAATGTTTCGTCTTACCTGCTACATTAAAAGGTTAAGACAATCAGGTATCAACCAACCTTTAGATTCGCAATTTTTAAACTCCTATATTTTACCTATTGTACTCTATTGCTCTCCATTAATCTTTCCTGGGCTTCTCAAAAAGGAATATATCATATTACGAAGGGTATTAAATGATGTGAGTAGGGCTTGTGGTATGCCACTGCGTCAGCTCGCCAGTATTATAGTCGAGAGGCACATAAATTCATGTACAAAATGGGCAAAGGCCGTACTGTCGGACCCTCTGCACCCCCCGCTTTATTCACAACTATCCCCTTGCATCTTATAAGATAGGACGAGAAGTCAATATAAGAAGTTATATTGTGTTATTATTATTATGTAATGTCTTTTTTTTGATCGTTTTGAGTAAATTAGATGCAATATTGTATTGAATGTTGAAAATTCCTTGCTGTATCATTAATACTGTTTTTGGAATAAAGCAAAAAATATTATTATTATCATTGAAAAACCTTAACTACTATATTGTTATAGCAGGACCCGACAGAATTCTCCCACAACTTACTCTCCCCGAAATGCTGAAAACAATCCCAGACACTATTATTGCAAATAATTTGAAGGGAAAGAAAGGTGCCCACCGATTGGAAGAAAGGCTGGCTACCTTGTCAAAACTACCAAAAAAAGGAGACTTAGGCCTCTTCTCTTGTCCTCGGCGAGTAAAATACCGATTGGCGACATCCTGAAAAGACTCAAAGATTCACTGGATGCTGAACCTCAACAACTTCATCGACTCTGAGAAGGTCTTTGACAGACACTATTAACTGAGAAGTAATTTGAAAACTGCTTCAACAATACGGCGTGCAGCGCCAAAGTCTTCATCAAACTTATTCGGCAGCTGGCTGGCTATATGGCAACGGCACGCGTCAGGTGCTCCATGACGGAAAACTTACCAGTGCCTTTAAAGTGAATACAGAAGTAAGATAAGGCTGCCTGCCTATTATCACCTATGACATTCTTAATTTTGATGGACTGGATTATACGTCAGACTGTGAGTGAGGAGTAAGAAGGTAGAAGTAGATTTGACCAACAAGAAGACTCTAGATGATCTGGATTTCACCGATGACTTTCTTTGGTGCAGACTGAATTCTATCAGTTACCGTGATGAAGGAGAGCTACCTAGAATGGTGGCCACATTACAAGCCTGACTGATAGAATTCAGTCTGCACGAAAGAAAGGACTAGACTCGTCACACTAGTTAATTACTAGTGTCAAATCATAATATCCACTACAGGCCTGCGGGAGGTCATTCGCGAGCCAGCCCGAATAACTCCTCGGCGGTAACGTCTTTGACTGCAGCACTCACTGAGTGACGCGTGTTTGAATCTCAGAAGGGACATGAGTTCCTTCACGGTTGCAGATACGCCTTACCTGATGGTGAGTGCCAACTAGCACGAAACCTAGATCAAGTAGGGCTTCCTATCGATTGCCTCCAACAATCTAGTATCACAGAATCCCTTACTAAGGTGGTAAAACTACTTTTGCCAAGGTAAATCGTATCCAAAGAATTTTAAATCACAAAATCAATTTTAAAATATATCTTTGGTAACGTTTCTTTATATATATATATTTTAATTTCTATTTTCAGCAAACTGGTTTAGCTGCTCAATGTCATCATCAACCAGGAAGGCGTGCATCCTAATTGAATTACAACTTGTTCACCGTGATGTCTACACAGTACTATTCGGAAGTAATCCAGCCAGTAGATGTCGAATTGATCCAACACTTTTAGCTACTGTACGTCTGTGTAGATTAGCCTGTGGTGGTGTTGGTGTCGACTCGGATACTGCTTGGCATACAGCTGGTCATACAGCGCATGCAGCTCGGCTAGCAGCTGGCTGTGTTGTTGACTTGGCCTGTCGTGTTATGCTAGGTCAGTGTCCTAATGGTTTCGCTTTGGTACGACCACCAGGACATCATGCAGAACCTGGTCAAGCCATGGGATTTTGTTATTTTAATTCAATAGCAATAGCAACTAAAAGAGTTCAATTCCTTGGATCAACAACACTTAGTAATGAACAAAACTCTGTTATATCTTCATTAACAAATACCTGTTCGATCAGTCAGCTTTTCTTCCCTACACAATAGAACCAACATTGAAACCAAGAATTCTTATCGTCGATTGGGATATTCATCATGGTAATGGGACACAAACAGTCTTCTATACTGATCCAACTGTACTGTATATATCATTGCATAGACATGATGAAGGTGGATTCTTTCCTGGTACTGGATCACCTGAAGAAATTGGTGCTGGTCCTGGTGAAGGATTTACAATCAATATTGCTTGGCCATCCGGCATAGTAATGTCTGACGCTGAATACCTAGCAGCATTTCGTTTAATTGTCCTACCTGTTGCCTGTGAATTTCAACCAAGTCTTGTCTTGGTGTCAGCTGGATTTGATGCAGCGCCTGGACATTCAGCTAATCTTGGCGGTTATTCTGTTAGTCCAGCAGCTTTTGGTTGGATGACACGATTGTTGTCTGTTGATCGAATAGCTAATTCTAAAGTGGTTCTATCTTTAGAAGGTGGTTATGATTTGAATAGTCTTTGCGACTGTACAGAGGCTTGTGTTCGAGCCCTGTTACAGTCAGCTGCAGAAATCAATGAAAAGAATTCTGTACCGATTAGTGTTCCTGATCTACTTCCATTGAAGCAGACAGAAATGGATCGTGTACCACATCCTGCAGCTATACAAACTTTATTAAGGGTAGCACATTTACATTCATCTTACTGGAATTGTTTCTCTAAAGAAATTACGACGGAATATGCATCGTTACCAGCGAGTAGATGGTTACCGACAGTATTTGAAAATTCATCGAAACTGAAAGATTATGCGATTCAACAACAACAACAGGAGATCATACATCCTTAGAATCAGACAATATTCCGTAATGAATATCAATCGAAGCTTATTGAAATTTTTAAATAAAGCAAATCCTTTAAGTGAGAACTTTAATACATTTACATCATCAACAAATGAATCCATCGAGAATAATCGATTATTTAATTTTGCTATGCGACAAGCGTCGTCTATGGATGAAGCAACCGATACTGAAATGAAACAAATTTCACTCGTAGAAGATCAGCTACTGGTCTTACTCTCTCGAATATTGATTCAAAACAACTGGTTGATACAAATGAAACGATAACACGCATAGCATTAGCTCGATTAGCCGAGCTTCACGTTACACAGAATCATGAATAGTGTGGTTCAATGAATAAGTGATTATTTTTTTTTCATTGTCAAGGTTGTGATACTGATCTAATTAATTTTGTTTTAATAAATAAACTAATAATGCAAAAAGTAGATTATCTCACTATTCAAATCAACTTAAAATGAGCACTATTTTGGATTATATTATACACACATATGTATATGTATATGTGTATAATATAGCGTTTCATATAGTGGCAGTTCACTGGTTTGTCCCAAGAATAAAATATGCGCATTTACTATTTTCAGCATTTACTCTTGTGTTAGTTGTTTTTGTAAATAAAATTAAATTGAATTCAATTTTACGAGCATTCCCTCGTGTTACAAAAAATCAACTGAATGTAAACAGCGTATTTCAATTTCCCGGTGCCTTAAAAAAATTTGACAGCGCTTGTTTTAATTTTAGTCAACGCTACCTCCATATTTACGTTCAACGTTCAATGTTCAATATACGCATACATATATATATACATACATAAGCATCACGAATTATTTAATAATATTGATTAATTTAAACAAAGTAAAGGAAAAGATAAGGCAACAGCTATTATTGAACTTGTTTAAATGTTTAATTTTAGCTTTGCGTTTTATGAATTATGTACTTTCTGGTAAAGTATATACATATATATATATGTGTGTTTCTTCTGACTATTTTATTTTTTATGAATATACTACTAATAATATTAGTAATAAAATGCATTTTTACAAGGCATTTTTATTTTCTTTCTTTTCTTATTTTGCGTGACTATTTTATTTACCTTTTATCCAGAGCAGTGTTTCGCCCTAATTCGTATGCGTGTGAGTGTAATTTCTTGATTTATACGTTTTCGTGTAAGTTGTGTTCTGTTGAGCGTTAACTGATGTGTGGGTCTGTGAGTGTTACCCAATCCACATCTCACATGAATTTAGTATTTCACATGATTCCACATTGTGAGTACAATTCATGTATAATTTTTCATTATGAAATGATTCTATTCCCTCTGAGACATCTTAGCGGGTGGGCAGATTTTGTGTATTCTCTTCTAAGTCTGTTATTTTCGTGTTTTTTTTGGTCCTTGTTTGTTTTTGTTTTTTTTACTTTATTCATAAGTAAGTATGATCTGAATTATATTATAATTTATGTGAATTCACATTCTTGATTGTGTCTGTTCTTTTTTGTTCTGTTTTGTTTGACAGTGTTGGTTTGTTTGTTTATTTTTTCTTCGAATTTGCCAACTGACCTTGATCATTCAATTTCTTCAGTGTAAATAAACTAAATGAAGAAACAGACAGGCAAACAAAAAAAACGTGTAAACAAACAGATATCACCTTGAAAGCAAATCTAAAAGTTGATAAACAAATTGATCAATAAATAAATAAATGTTTTTGCATATGTTGAGTTTCTAATCCTTGATTAACTTCAAATTGAATTTTTAATCCTGAAACGACAGTTGACAGTAAGTAATTTATGCATAACACTTTATACTACTAGATATGATAGAGAAGATTTGTAGCTCAGGTGGATGAATTTGATGTGGTTTTGTTGTCTGAGCTGGATGGTTAGTTTGCGAAGCTTTCATCACCTTACTGGGTGACATCTTCAGCGCATACTTCAATTTGAAGTGAGCTTTTAGGTTTCTCCACTAGTTTATTAATCATCTCTCCTGGTGACCTTGGACGTGATTGGTTGTTCGTGTGTGTTTTCACACCTTCTAGGTTATTTGTATTGGAACCGGTTGTTTCTTTGATTTGAACTTTGACCCTTTGTGTGTGAAGTTTCTTCCTTATTGGTTGATAAATTTTGTCTATCTCGATGTGTCTATTGATTGATGATTCACTGGAATGCCAAGCTTCTAAAAATTCCTAGCATTCTTGTTATTTCCTTTGTCTAATATTTGAACGTTGTCCCAGTCGAATTGATGTCCGTGGTTGTCTGTGTGTAGTGAAATGAGGGAGTGTATATCATGTCTTTTGACGGCTAGCTTATCTTCGTGGATACGAAGACGAAGGGGACGTCCACTTTGGCCAATGTAGTGTTTTTCACAGTTGTTACCGTTTATTTTGTAGATGATGTTGGTTTTGTCTTCTTTCGCTGTTGAGTCTTTTGGTTGACATAGAATTGAGTGCAGCGACTTTGTTGGTTTGTGTACAACGTCTATTCCTAAAGGTTTGAAGAGTCTTGTAGTGATTTCTGAGATATCCTTTATATATGGTAAGGCAATTTTCTTTGTGCTTTCCTTGGTGGCTTTTGCTTTGGTAGGTTGGCTTGGGGGTATATGTCTCTTGATGAAATTCCGTGGATATCCATTCTTTTGGAAGACGTCCATGAGATACTTTTCTTCAATTTTTCTTAAGGTGGGAGTGCTGCAGTGAGTCCTTGCTCTCTTGAATAGTGTTTGTATGCAATTCCTTTTGTGTGTTATTGGGTTGTTGCTGTTGTAATTCAGTATTTGGTCTGTGTGAGTTGACTCACTCGGTTCCAATACAAATAACCTAGAAGGTGTGAAAACACACACGAACAACCAATCACGTCCAAGGTCACCAGGAGAGATGATTAATAAACTAGTGGAGAAACCTAAAAGCTCACTTCAAATTGAAGTATGCGCTGAAGATGTCACCCAGTAAGGTGATGAAAACTTCGCAAACTAACCATCCAGCTCAGAGAACAAAACCACATCAAAAACTTTATACTACTAATTTATTGAAATCAGTAGCGAGGAAACAAGCATAAGAATGGACTCACACAAAAAGAAACTTGCAGGATCTGAACTTCGCCAATGAAATACATACATATATGTCTGATTTCAGTCACGCACTGGAAGATATGCGAATGAAGAGCAACAAGTTGACAGAAGAAAAAGAAGCATCAGAGATTGAACTTCACTTCAGGTAAAGTTCTGGCTAACAGTAAAAACAACAGGTGAGGGCGAATAGCATAAATGGCAAGGGTCTGAAAGAAGAAAACTCCATCACCTACCTGGGAAAGATAGTTTCAATTACAAGCGGAACTGATGATATTATGAAAGTGAGGAACGGGAAAGCGAGGCTAGCTTTCATTACTCTCAAGTCTGTGTGGAGGAGATGAACAGCACTGAGCATGAAAAATAAGATCCGGATTTTCAACTTCAATGAGAAGTCAATGCTGCTTACTATACGGATCAGAGACTTGCATTGCGCGTCACGAAGGGCAATTCGAACAAACTTGAGACCTTCATCATTAGCTGTCTTCCCTGAATGCTGTTCAAGATCAGATGGCTGACCAGGAAAGGTGAGCAACAGGGATCGCTGGCAATCAACGAACCAACCCAGCAGGAACCAATTGTGCAAGAAATATGCAAGAAGAAATGGAGGTGGATTGGCTGGCCATACTTAGAAAAAACAAATCATCAAGTGGGTGACATCACACGACAGGCCATCGTTCGAGTAGAACGCGTATGGGAAGTGGCGAGTTGGTCGTCAGTGCGAGAGTCACATAGAGGATGAGGTGATGTGAAGAGGAGGTGAGACGATGTGGGGAGATGTGGAGCCATGTGAAGTTGTAGGCAGAGAACCGAACGCACTGGATACGTGTGGCTGAATCTCTATGTTCCCCTAGGAACTGAAGGAAACAATAATAATACCATTCATACCGACCATTATTACTTGCCAGACAGTTCGAGTTGATCGTTCGAGACCTAGCTAATCAGTAGGGTATCCGATTGGACTCAACTCACAAAGCCGAATCAGTTGAAATCACCTGATTTCTCTCCAGATGCTTAGGCATATCTGGTATGCTACTAAACCTTTAACAAGAGAAACGATCGTCAGGTGTTTAAATCACCTCAGTCAGGCTGGCTAACAAACGCTACTAGTTGATATGTATGCTGTGCAGCTACTCATCTCAGTCAATCAGTAGTGTGTAGTTTTATGCAAATATTGCTGCTTTGTTGATTATAATAATGATAAAAATAATTTATACTTCGTATAAACGGGTTAGTTTACAAGAAATACATGCCATTTATGCAGGCACGATCAGATGTGTTATAAATTACAATCGTGAAGTATCATAACCTAATACTTTTACAAAAGTTTTAATTGTTCAATTACTGTACAAGCAATCAGAACAGGTTCTTATAAATGTTAAATTGCAGACCTTTCACTGAGGTCACCATCAAAGTTGAGCGACAATCCAAACTGCGTTCCGTTTCCTGTTGATAGTTAAGGTCAATCAATAAACAGCCTATATTTTGGTAAGTTCTATGCTCCCAACGTGATTATTAGAAGCAATTTCAGGAAGAGGAGAACGTCCTGCGAAACCGCGAGATGGTATAGAATACACTTGTGGATAATACATCATTGAAAGTACATTATTAATATATATATATGTATATAACGAAGAGGGTGGAGACTCCTTGGAATGATAGTATACATTTGTAATGTTTAATGCTAACCATATTGATGTTTTCAATGAAGATATAGCTTTGTTCAAACATTGGTGTTGTTGTATTTTTAATCAAAGCAACCAGACATTAAGCAAGCAACAAATATGAACAGAGAGCAAGTTTTAGCTTTAACAAAGACCTGGATAGTTAAGATAAAGTAGAGTATAATAGTGCGTAAATAACAAGATTATCGTGAGGTAGATAAGTGATATTTCAGTGAGAAGTGAATTCAGAGTTCTGGAAGATTAGAAGTTGTAAGACAAGCTGACCTGTAAGATATCTCACGAATTTCTGTAGGGCTCTCGGGGTAGCATTTTGACAAGAATATCCACAGGTTTGTAGATGGTAGGAGAAAAAGCATTTTTTTTATAATTTAGACCAGTACAACTCTTATTTTTTGTAAAGGATCAAGGCTAATGTTTAATTCTCGAGCTGCCATTTAGTAGTGTCAAGTGGATCACATATTGTATGACATCAATAATTTCAATATCCAATGGGAACTAAGGTGAAATTCCACCCCTTGAACCGTTTACAC